AAAATGCGGGTTCCTACATACAGCTATCTGGAAAAGAAAAGAAAAAAAAAAAAAAACCTGTTTCTTGCTGGCAAGTAAGTATTCGCTGGCTGGGTGGTTCGCTTGTGGTTGTTATCGTATCTTGCATGCTTGCATCCTGCACCGCCACATCTCCAGCAGATCTGACGTAGGGCAGCAAAACTAGCCTCATCTTGCAGATCCAGAATCTGGATACTTTTTGTGGGGAAGAGCTCGTTTAGGCAAAGCGGAAGCATATCCATTTCCTATTCGGTGCCCTGATGTGGCTGGTTTTCACGGCCACACTCTTCAAGCTGATTATTATTGTAAAATCGGCCGGCAAACAGCTACGTGGCTAGAGCCAGCACAGAGCGAAAAAGGAAAAAAAATGAAATGTGCAGCACAATTAACTGCGTAATACCAATCCACTAGTAGATCCGTCTGGTGGTATTTGCGAGAGAGCTAGGGACAGCTCCTATTGACAAGTGGGTCTGCCGCTACCAACCTCAGGCATCAAAAATGTGGCGTCCGATCTGTGGCTTGTTGTTTTCTTCGGCAACAATCCTTTGGATATTGGATTGGATTTGGAATCATTTTTCCTCAACCCTGGCGATCTGCTGACTGGAAGCCAGGCAAAGGAATGTAATATCAATACGGAGTACAGATTACACTCGGCCGAATTATAGGGAAGCGACCGTGTATAATTCTCAACCACTCGGAGAAATTCAGCGGGAGTCACATAATCTTATTTTGTAAATAATGATGATGATGATGATGATGATAATATTTTGGTCATTTGATCTTTATAACCACACCTAGGTACTCTATACATGTACAAGCGAACCAGTGATTTGTGATTTGAAATTTACTCTACTCGACCACTCTAGAAACAACCAGGTTCTTCTAGAACACTTCGCTTCCCCATTTTTTTTTTTTCTTCAAGCGCCCGCCCTATGCGCACTGGCCCTCCGTTGCATGCAACATGTCAAGCCCTATGCATGAATTTTTCACTTCGCCTTTCAATACAGGTGAATTCTCCAATAAACTGGGCCAAAACACCTGCCATTGCTTGACTAGCGTTTGAAAAAAATTTTCCTCTTTGCATGCGAGAATCCCTGCTAGTGCAGGGCCGTAGCTTAGCTTCGCCGAACATTGTAGTATGATGCCAATGGGAGTGTGACATTCGGCACTTTGTTAAGACCAGACTTGCTTGGCGTTTTTCTCAACTTCATCAGTCTCGAAAAAGAAAAAAAAAATTTTCTTTGACAACAGCGACAACTGCGGATACAAGGAACACACACACACACCAATTCAACTCACCAGACTATCTTCGTATTTCCTACGGTAATAATGTCCACTTGAGGCCTGTATCGTCTTCCTGAGCAATGCATGCGGCTTAGGCCTCATTCTTCGTCATCTTGTCTTCCCAAACACGACCATGCTGGCCACAGCATCAGGAATGCTGAATATATTCGGCTATCTTATTACTATCAAGGGGGCACAGGATATCATCCTCAATCCTTTGCTCTGGTTATTTTCATTTGAATAATGATGGCAAGGGTAATTGGACCGCAATCCCCGATGTTTCGCCCTTACTCAACCACCAATTACCATTTTCTGCGTCTCATAAGCTGAAAAACAGGACGGAAGTAGTCCTCCGTACATGCCACACCATGCAATATCTTCTTTCTTTCCAGGTGGACATGGATTAATTCACGACAGGAGGACGTATTCTTGCCCCTCCTCTTCTCGTTTCTTTTGAAAGAAATCCTGTTTTCCGCATTCCCGTTCACCTCGCCGTTTTCCCGCCCCTATACCCAGCTATTGACGGGTGGCGCAGGGTTCACTACGTTCCGGGATCTTGGTTGATCCCGGCTCCATTTTCATCTTTAACCTCGTGGTTGGGTCAAGGTGGAAACGAAAGGACCAGGATTAATATTCAGTGGTTTGTTGACATTCGAGTTAGCATGATCAGTTAGCTTCTTTGCCTGTTCAGATGCCGGGATATGATCCTCTTCCTCATCCTCAAGCTGCAACTTGCAAATCTAATTCGATACCATCAGCCTCAGACCCTGCCGGCCAGAGACAGTCTGACAGGAGAACAAGGAGAACAGTGCGCCAGACGGGAGGGGAACGCTCCTCCTGATCGCCGTGCTGATTGGATGGTATTCGTCACTCGTCGCGGGTTTGCCACAGCTGTCTGTCCCGCGGCTTGGGCTAGTGTTTGTTTTGCCGTGCTAGCTTTCCACGATAGGAAAGTGCCCGTCCAGGTAGGGAGGGCAAAGTTCTTTATTATGTCTTTCTCCTCCTTCAATACCCCCTGGCTTCCCCAATCAAAGTACTACGTACCCATGATAACAACACTTCTGCAGCAGAAACGCCACTTGGCATGTCTCCCAGCCTCATATATTGTCGCTTACTCCCGAAAGTCGTGAGAAAACTGGATGTATCACATGGGAAAAGAGATTCAGGGAACAAAGTTACTAGCCACTACCTTCGTTTAAATGCTAAATTGAGTAACGGGAGTCTCTACCCTTGCATGAGCCAACCAGGTCAGAGAACATACGGATATCCAGAATCGTTTTCGCCTCTGGTCACAGGCCGGTCCGCGCTCCTGGGAAGCCGACGGCGGAAGACCAGGTTCCTTCCATGGATAGATAGGTGGCGAGCCATTCACTTGCGCTGAGTAGAGGCACCGCGGTGGGAGAGACTGACCATATGAAAGTCATCAGCCAGCCTCTTTATTCAGTTGCTTCTTCACTTCCGAATTCTCTCGCTCATGATTTCGCCAGCGCGATGTATCTAAGAAGCTATCCATTGGTTTTGCTGCAGTCTACTCCTTTCCTTGCCCTTTTTTGCTTTTCCTTAAAAAGTCGGGGCACCGAATGAAAAACGCCAGCGTGAATTCCCCAACCCCTGAAAGCCACAGAAGGTGGCGGCGTAGATGGGAGGGAGGCTTTGATAGGATATCAAGGCACCGTTTGGATTGGAGAGTTCTGTGCGTATGCCGCTCAACTGGGAGAAACGGCATCTATATTCATCTCTGCCGCGTGTTGTTGGCAAATCCCTACAGGAGGTGCAAGCTATGTCTACTCCGCACGCAGTACGGGAATGTTCCAATGGGAACACCCGCCCCGTCCTTCGATGTAGCGCAGGTCCAATGTCGAGAAATTGGCCACATTGCACCGTTGCATAGCTTCTTCTGTGTGGGACCCCACGAGAGGGCATAAAAAACTAAATCCAATATCGTTTTCGTGATATCAGATATGGGAAATCGGCGGGACACCCTTTGACTGCGAACTGATATTGGCAAGCGGCTTTACTGCAAATTGGGTGGATGGAGTTGAATTCCAGGTATTCCATCATCCCATCTACCCATCCTCTCATTCGCCCTTGCGTCTTCATCAGTACCCTTTTTCCATCACGTATCAACCTCTGTTAGTAAGGAAGCCCACTTCTCCCGTTTTCATTTCATGGTCATTTTTTGGGCCACATGAGGTGCTACATTTCTCCTCGTTTGTATTCATTATTAGAACCCTCTTCACCCAAAACTGCTTGCCCCGTGATTTCATTTTGATTAGAAACGGGTGCCCTTTTTGCCATTCTTGTTTCTAATGAGCTCCATTCCATTACACTTACATCATTGGAGCATTGACAGGGACTCTCATGTAGGAAAAGATCTCGTGTCTAGTATTCAACACTTCTATGCTTCAATCCACTCTTTCGATGCGTTACATTGGCTAATCCTACTTCCAGAATCACTCTTTCCCACCGCCCTTCCCGCATGGTACGAAACATGGGTCCTGAACCCCCGGATAAGAGAATCCCCATGTCCAAATATGATACGCTTCGTCTTCCATCTAGTGATGATGGCAGAAGCCTCCTCCTGCACTGGGGGCCCCGCGTGGATATAGCTCGAGGAAATATGAACTGCAAATGCTCCTTTTGAAAATGTCGATATAGGTTTTCCGAAATACCTGAACATAATAGGACCTTCGAGGAAACCCGAATGCATCCAACCCCTTTTCTTTTAACAGGTACAATTCTATTTTGACGGGAGTCGTCTTAATGAGATGGGTGATTATGGCAATGCGCCCAACACGTGGAATGAGAAAATGAAGTAGCATGTCCTACAATCTATCCCCCCCTGAATCATGGCACGATCCTTTGCTAGATACTCTGAACAACTAAGAATCAATATCCCCAGCTTTCTTTCCTCCTTAACTCTCCTTCCTCTCCAGAATCTCCTACGCGTGCACCATTCAATACACTTTAAGAGCAAACTCATCCCCGATTCGCCAATCAAAATGTACCTGGTTTTAACAACCAAATGCTAAAATCCAACTGCAAAAAACTACGCCATGCAAATTACAGATAATATCGAAAATACAAATATAAAAAGATCTACATGCTCCCTTTATCCTCGTCTCCGGCGCCGAAGAAAGGTAAGTGGAAGAAGGGGAGGGTTAGGAATATTCTCGAACGTGGATACAAAACAAGCACATATGAGTGACGCACCAGCTGGGTCACTCTCACATCCTCACATTTCTCTGAAAACTGCCAAAGCACGATCAAAGAGTCTCTTCAATCTAATCTTGATGATAGCGAGAATTGGTTCGTTGCTTAGCTATGGACGCCAGCTCATCGGGCTCTTTTGGCATTTCTCCCCGGAGCATGCCATGAAGGTCCATTGCCTCTGGATAGCAATTTTGTCTAGCATGCTTCGAACTATTGTTCTTGACCAGCTCCCATCGGTTGACCTGCGCAGATCTCCATATTCGGCAAACAAAACTGAGCATGCAGGATGGGTACATTGTTAGTTATGAAACAGAGGAACGTCTTTTGAAGTTCTTGCAAAGGAAATGTGCGGATAATATAAGGAAGTTAACTTCCGACTTATATGAGTGGATATCCATATCCCCCTTTTTTTTTGTTCCAACATGTTTTGAGAGGTTCAGTATGGTGCTGCATTGACCTAGACGAATATTAACGTTTACTGTTCACTAGTTGAGGCCATGCTCTACATACAACTGTGCCAGATAGTTACAAGGTCATGTAGCACCATGTTGAACTATGTTTTATAACTTTCTTTGCCCACCATCAGGAAAGGGGTCATAAAATGGCCAGTAGTTTAACTTCACTACGTGGATGATGTTGGATACCTACCAAGGGAATATCGTTCCTTGTGCGGAGGAGTGAGGGGCAAAGGGTGATGGGCTTGCCATGTTAATATTCTTCCCTATTTTCAACTTAGTCGCACTTTGCCCGCCATTGCAGAAAGAACTTATCTGTCGTTTTCTAAATTTTACAATGGCATATGTATGTATCATTTAACAGATGTTTGAAAACTGATGATACCTTTTCTCAAATAAGATCATCCCGTTCGGTAAGGTCTACTTGTCGGAACTGGATAATGTCCGAATATTGACCCAAATACTGAATATCGATAGATAATTGAATTGACTATTATCACTCTGATAATTACACGATAACTTCTAGGAGATATTTATAGGGAAGAGAATGCTCAATCATATGAGAGGGGCCGTGCTAAGATTCAGCGGGACAGTGCTCAGGTTTCAAATAGCGAGATGTTACAAGATTCTTGATATATGAGATATTGTCTCCGACACTACTTCTTCTGACATCAAAATGTGTGGGATATGGATTTCTAGCCCTGCATGGAAAAAAACCTGCAACCACACCAGGCTAGTTGACCGGTACTCTGCTGGCTTTTAAAATTCAACCCTTGAGACATGTTGAGAACCTTTGGTCTGGAATACGAGCAGCTGAACTGACTGCTCAGGCTTATGTTAGATCCTGACTCCCTTCAACTGATATATGCTGCATAGATCCCCCCCAGAAACTATCTTTTAACTCCTCCGGCAATTGAACATGGAGGGTTTCAGCGACTCCAGCCTGAGAAAGTTCCAGATGTTGTTGGTGATTGGCGGCAATAGTTGATCCTCAAGCAAAATCATTTGAAATAAGACAGGCGGTGGCATCCCAAAGCAACGTGAGTTGATCGCGTCCTTACATCTATGAGATGACAGTGGACTACTTCGCAAATGGAGACCTGCTCGCGATATCAAATTTCTCTCTCTGTTGGACGGGACAATGAACACTGCCACTCAGCCTGATGTGTCTCACATCCTTCCTCAGATCTCACTGGAAAGACATCAGTTCAGCCTCGACGCGTCGAACATATGAGGTTTTTACTCTGACTCTCGAATCACCATCAGGGCAAAGCAAAGAATAATATCGATATCATTATTAAAATCGGTCGTGCAACCGAATCCTTATATTCGTCCCCGAAAAGAACTTATCCCGGAGTTAAGCAGCTAACTCTCTGTTGAAGCATATTAAGTCCAGCGGAGCCCAACGGGTTCCAGCGATCCGGAGGTATTAAATCGATGCAATCCATCGCAACTTTATATCCGGTGGGATTTATAAACCACTTCCGATCCTCTATTTCCATCACTGTGATTCGTCAGATGGTAATGGATACCGGAAACTGGATATGCACTCAGCGCTTTGTCGCTATGCTCTTGGGTCTACGGCCGTGAAAGTAACGGACTGAAAACTACTTTTTAAATCCGTTTATGCAGTCATGAGATAGTTAGGCGTCAGCCTCGGCCCGCGCTTATGTGCCATACGAAACGCATGACATGCTTGTATTGTCCGAATATGATATTTGATTTACGATGACTTCCACAACATATTTCACTGAATCCCTCTCTTTTTCCTGGTCAATCGTCGGTTTGAGATTAACAGGACAAAAAGGAAAACGAAAGGGTGTTAGAACTTGATTCCAGAGCAAACAAGAAATATTTTTTAAGAATTATGGCAGACATTCTGTGCCCGGATTCAAACATTGGATGATGTTTCGCCGGGATTTACGAGAGAGTTAAGCTTCTACCTTGGATTTTCGAGAAACGGACAAGACTTCCGAATTTATCTGATGTGTTTCTGTTTTATTCCCATTCGCCGTCGTCCTCTGATTGAGAAAATGGTGCCCACACAAAACTCCTTCAGAGCGGCTCAACGGCCTGAGCTTTGCTTGCCCAAGAAGACAAGCTACGGGGTTCGGAATTTTCGGGTTTACGGGACTCTAGATCTCCGATCGCCGCCTCCACAGACGTACGCTGACTCCAAGGGCATTCGGCGCGTCTAGCCCAATTCATTGTGCGGATGATGAATACTGCCACGACTAGACAAACTGGGACATTTCAGCAACGAGGACCCTGGCCCGGCGGCATTGCAGCACAATTCAGATATTCTATTGAACGAGCGAGAAGATTCCTTCGGATTCCACGGCTTCAACCAGATGTCTCAGGTCGAAGAGCGGCGGTTTCGTTATATACAACACCGGTCTATCCGGGACAGCACGCCGTATTTATGTGGTTATAAGAAGAGCAAAGCGATCCCCGGCTAGAAATGCTGATCACTGATCACACAAGTGTAATAACTGTTGGGCACTAGTTGCCCAGGCGGCCCTCCACCGCACGTGATTACCCCTATATATAGTTAGCTAGCGATCGCACAATGAGAAGATTAACCATCCCACAATAACTCTATTCCGTGGTCACGTTATATATGCCAACTAACTTCGCACATGAAGTGTATATAGCTCATACAACCTTTGTGCAAGTAATAGAAGTGCGTAAATATTTATATAAGAGACGCTGTCGAACTGACTGACTTCGAGTCCTCAATAGTGAAATCCAGAACTTCATCTGAAAATGGTACTGACTTGTGTATATCATCATTCTTTTGATATATTTCCTAAATTTGCCGTTAATATTGAAAATGAATCAAGTGCATCGCCTCTTGTGCTAGATCTCGAAGATTCCAAGTGCCAAACAGCTGGGGAAGCAACGAAGTCAATCCGCAAAAGAAAGAAAGAAAGAAAGAAAGAAAGAAAGAAATGGAATCTGAGAAGGGAAAGTGACCATGACAAGCTAACTCCAACACAACTGATATCCGGAAGCAAAGGGAAAGTTCGAAATCGAGAAGCAAAAATGGAAAACAGGAAACAAAATGCGTAAGATCCATTACGGCCCTGCTGTTGATGATCTTCGTCTCCAGAATCGAAAAGAAAAGCACCACCACTAACCCAAACACCGGAGCGCATCGAATCCCTCAGCGCACCAATTTGATCAAAAATCAAACAGCGGGATATCCGTTATTTTTCCCTCCCCACCAACTTCCACAATAATCCAAACAGCGACCGAGAGCGCTTCAACTCTTTCTTAGGGTGAACCACAGGACTGGCATCCGGGAGATTGGGTATTGACTTCTGCTTTTTGACCAGTCTGCGCTCCTTGCGCGACGAGGATACGATAGATACGACACCCCCAAAGAGCGTTCGGGACTTCATAGCCTTAGTGGAACATGGGACGTTATCGATTTGATTCTTCATCGGTTTGGGAAACACAAAGCCCGGTGATGAACTTGGGCATGATGCAGATATTAGTGCCGTTGCTGCCGCTGATGACGCAGGCCCCCTAGGATTCGAGGATCCTGTGCTCGCGCTCTCTGCGTCTGGGAATAATGAGAAGGACGCTCGGCGTTGAGGGCCCTTGGAAATGACTTGAGATGTAGTGCTTGAGGAGAGTGGAGTGGACGTGGTGGAAGAGACGGAGGTGGTAACAGGAGTGTTCATCTGGAAGTTAGCATAGTATCTCGGCCGCTTGATGGTTTGGGTGCGGGGCCGGACAGCGGGAGATGAAGTGTCGAGGCGAGGTAGGGCCAGACGGGCCCTAGAATCGCCTTGGCGATTGGACTTGAGGCAATTTGGAGGTTGGTGATGCTGGTATTGGTATGGGTAGGATTGGTATGGGAATTGTTGTTGTTCCTGTTCCTGTTGCTGTTGCTGTTGCTGTTGCTGTTGCTGTTGCTGTTGCTGTTGCTGTTGCTGTTGCTGTTGCTGCTCTAATTGAAAATTTTGGTAGTAGCAGAGCTGATTACCCAATTCCTGATGTTGATCATGGTGGCTGTTGGGTGAATATGTAGGGAACAACTCTTCTTGCTGCGGCGGTTGTTGGTGAGGCTGACTGCTCCAATGGGGTGTTGACTGTGTTAGAATCATGTTGGGGTGAACGTCTGGTTGCAGATATGATAGTTCTTGGGCAGTATGAGATCTAAAAGCAAATTCGTCTCCGTACAACGCCTCCATGGATTCGTTTTCGTTTGCTTTCACTTTTCCTTGCTACTGAATGTTCTATTTTTATTCCGAGAGGAAATGATGAGCATGCAAGGACAGCATGTATATGGGTGCAAGTGCAGGTGCCGTAAGCACTAGGTAAGCTCCCCTGTTGTTTCTTAGAATACCGGAGTGGGGTGAGTTGGGACAAGTTGACTTGAGATATGAAAATGAAGGATCCGTGAGGTTTTGTAATAATATGAGAGGAGCTTGCCCATTTGCAGATGAGGCAGTGTGGGGAGCATGTGGCCGGGATGTAAACCATAAATGCAAGTTTCTCTACAGATTACTTTGCTTGCACCTACGGAGTAGTTCTTATCGGTCGAGATTCAATCAAGCAAGAAACTTGGATCACCGTGCATATTAAAAAAAAAAAGGGGGGGGGGGCTTTCCTCGAGAGAGAGAGAAGGCCTAGAATTTTATTCTTATTCTTTTTTCCCGTCCTCCCATTTCGGTCGCGCTTCATGCTTCCAGCCGATTCGGGTTACTCAATAACAGCGATCTTCCAGCCAGTGAAAGATCAACAATGGCACAACATAGATTGGCCAAGCAGGGCACACAAAATACAGGAGAAAACAAAACCAAAAGCCCCAAAAAAGAAAACATCCGACGCCCCAATAAAATCTGGAAAGCAATGCTGCATATCAAGGACAGGGCGTCCCTGGGATAACAACAACAACAACAACAACAACAACAACAACAACAACAACAACAACAACAACAACAACAAGCAGGGAAACCAGAAGAGTTGGCTTGTTATCTCAACTCCACAGATCTGTGGCGGAAAAGTTTGTCAGGAACAAGGAACAAGGAACAAGGAACAAGGGGCTTCCCTTGATGAGGCCATTAGTTAAAATTTAGCGGGCCAGTTGCAAGTCTGAATGAAACCCTTAGCTCAAGGCACCAGGGTAAGCACCAATTCGTGTGCCGGTCAAGCCATGTTCCTTCCTGCATGTCTATATTTATCATTAAGCACGAGCCTCCGATGCAAGTCTCAGAACTCAACCCACTGTGAGTGGAACACTCTCAACAACAGCTGCTTAAAGATCGGGTTGGGCACTTGAGCAGTCATGGCCAGTGAACGGCAGTCAGCAGTAAGAGCTGCCAGATAAGTTCTCCTTGTGGGAACGTCTTCTCCAACATGAGTTTTCCACGTTTTAGGCTCCCAGCCCTCCCCCCTGGCACCATGGTAAGCCGGTAGTTGTGCCTG